TTATTGTGTGTTATTCATGTGTTATTGTATCATGAGAATATTCTTGGTGTTATAATAACACGACAATAACACAATAACACATGAATAACACGCAATAACACATGAATAACACGGGAAGGAATATTCTCCGTGTTACTGCGCCGTTTTTTTTTCTCCTATCGCTCGTGGCGTGATTTTATTGGTTGCGCACGGTATTTCTACGTGCGTAGTACTGATGTAATATTTTTTCTTTCCGGAGAGACACATGACTCAAGGAGATCACAAGGAGATCATAAAAAGATTGGATCATATCATCCAGAGAGAAAAAAATGATTGCAAGCCATTAAGGGTAGTGGAAAGGACATGGCAAAAGGAGTACATTTAAGACTGGTTGAATGCCCATGATAGTCTCATATTGTTTCATTTAATTATAGTATAATCCTTAGCATTTAAGTAAGTTAATGACCTCATAATTGAATGATATTGGGCCCATTGGATTATTTATTTTAAGAAACTTTATTTTATTATAAGTATGTAAGATTTGTGGACACCGACTTTATCTGTTTATCATAGTTTTGTCTAGTGTCAAAAACTTTGTGTCAGTAGATTAATAATTTAACATTGTTGTATGGAATCAAATGCGCGCGCGTGCACACACACACACACACACACACACACAAGTACCATTAAAGGGGAGTATGTGATGATTTCTACTAACCTGTTGCTTGCAGGTGTCATGTAGCTTCCCCATAAAAATGCATAGCTCATTATACGTTGTATGTTTTTTGGCTTTCCCACTGATGTTCACCTGTGTTTTTTATGTGGAAAAGCCCGGAGAGTCAAAAAAATCACGTGACATGACCTGATTAAAATGATCCACCATAAGTTCACAAGTACAAAAATAGATCCTAATCCCACACAGTTGAGAAAATGGTTACAATATTTACTTCAAGTATGATGTTTGTATACAAAAATAATCATTATACAATGATTGAAAGTAATTGGTGCTGGAAGTTACTATCGGGTCTTTGATACACTGTTTTAGGGGCACGTCATAGTACAATATTTTGAACACTATGTTTCTCTATAACCAGAATAATTTTTCACTCAATAGAGTATTTTGTTACTCCACAATGTGCATCGTTATTCTGCAAGGTACTTTGTTACTCCGCAGGGTACTTTATTATTCATCGGGGTACTTCCTTACCCTACAATGTGCATCCTTATTCAATAGTCCACCAATGGCAGTATATAAAAGGCCCTTTTTTTTTTTAAACTATTTTAGTGGACATTATGACAATATGTAAAGTATAGTTATAGTCATTTTCAAGAGAATTGATTCTTAAATCACAATTCCGAAATGAATAATAGTTTGCTTCTCAAAATTGTTAAAGCTCAAAAGAAAAGTTCATTATTTATTTATTGATATGCATACATGATTTTTAGTAAATAGATTAAACAAGCACGTCTAAATGATGATTTAATTAATTTTTTTTTAATAAATTTATATTAAAAATAGTTATAATATAATATAATATAAGATACTGCACTTATATCAAATAAATTCAACAATTTTAAATCCAACCAAGCAAATTTTTGGTTCGATTATGAAAAATAACACATTTTTCCAAACTTTTACTGAGCATCGTTATTTACCAACAAAAGGGGAAAAAAATCCATCCATCGTTTAGAAGTCAATTCCTATATATTTACCTATCTAACGCTTAAAACCTCAATTTTTACATAAATGCTTATATTATTATTATTATTTTTTTTAAAAAAAAAAGGCCCAAGAGTTAATTTATTAAAGAGTGAAATGTACAGATAGGTTGTATGAGATGACCTAAAAGAAGATCCGACTCACACAATACAATGCACACAAAAATCCAAAGAAGCAAAGATATATAAAGATAAAAAACCAAAAATCCACGAACATACGCAAATGTGCTATGGACGTCTCACTTTAGTTCTTCCTCTGCCTCTAGTTCTCGGAAGGGAGTCAACTAACAAATTAGTAAGATACATACCATTACCCGAAGTAACCAAAATATCATCTATCAGATTTTTGAACTCAAGTATGTCTCAATTCTTCTTCTTCCTCCTAGATGTGTAGACCTGTCATTTCTCATCCGAGGATTGACTCAATTGATCAATGGATTGGTCCAAAGGTGGTCGGACTGGTGTAGGACGTTGCACATCTTGATCCTCTGAGTCTGAGTAGCATTGATATCTTTCTGGATCTGATGAGGCGGTAGTGATGCAACAGAAGTATTTTCACCTGTAATATCAGTGATACGTTCTAGGGCCGGCGGAGTCTGAAGAATCTCCCTCACCTCCACGATAGGATGTTCCGAAGACAGGGGAGCTACATAAATGCTAATATATATATATATATATATATATATATATATGTGGGATTAGTTGGTATGTATGTAAAAAATTATGTAAATACAATGAAATTGGGGGGTACGCATGAAGTTTTAAGTGTTAAATATGTAAATATAAACCTACTATAGTTTATAATTTTACACAAATATAACTCGGCAATTAATCGGAAAACACCCACTTTTACCCGGATTATTCTCCGTTCTTTGCTACAGTGAAATCCCAATAGAAAAGTTGCGTCTTTGTCAAACCTCTAACCTTGTATTATGGGGCCTAAACCCTACTAATCCTCTCTCCACTCTCCTTTCATCCTCCACTTTACCGAGCTAATGCCAGCTCGATGCTCTCGAACACGCTTTGGCAATTTGTTGATCCCGTAAAGCCTCCCCTCGCTGCTCAGCATCGCCGTAATCATTCACGCCAAGGTGAACCGCCTTCTCGATTTTATCAATCTCTTCCATCGGGTAACTATATGATCAGGAGTTGAGTGATTTTGGCCTTTTGTTCAAGAACGGCGATGAGTGCATCGTCCCGGAGGGTTTAGGGCATAATGGATGTTTTTTGATTTGGGTTCTTCCTCTTTACAGAGTAGAATTTCGTTAGATGAATATCTGATTGGTTGTCTTCTTTTTGCTTAGCTAGTTTGCGAATTTCAGCAAGATCATGGAAGGGGCAGGCACTGATTTTCATATATGAGAACTTTTCTCTCCTGTTTTATGATGCTGCTGTTCTTCGAAGAAGCCTGTATGCCTAATTATAGTGGGCAGTATTTGTTGACAGTGTCTTTCAGTTTTCAATACAGTCTCTTTCTGAAAAAAACTGATTCTTTGTTTTTAATAACCTATGAGGATGTTTGTTTTTTTTTTAATTTTAATTTGTGTTATCTATCAGATGTTGTGTTTGGTTCAATGTTATTTGGCAAATATTTTATTTTTGGGCGGCAAGATGATATTTAAAAAATATATATGGCTTAATTGTCATTTTATTGATTGTTATGGATTATACTAGCGAACTTAGTTAGCATTTTGTAATACCCCTATCTTACATGGTGTATATAGAATAACCAAGAAATCTCAAGTTGTGTATTTGGCATAGTATTTTATGGCTTTCTTTTTTGTAAGTCTATAGATTGTTTTTTTTATCTTTTTATTTTAATTTCAGATGATATCATTGATGGATATGACTGGTTTTGTTCTTACACCATATCTAATTAATTGATTAAGGATGCATTAAGCATGAATCATGCTTTTTGGGTACTATAAATGGTCTATAAAGTAATCTGATGTCTCTTTATATTTATATGTCAAAGCCAAATTCTTTCTTTCTGGTGAGGTTCATTAATGTTTCATTTTGTCAAATCTCTTCTTAATTTATTATTTGGTCCCTTTACTTGCACCCCTGGTTATATGATCAAAATCTTGCACATTTTCTTTGAAGTCTCGAGGGGAGTGTTAGCATGATTTGTTCTGTTGACTCTATGTTGGTAATAGTGGAAGCTCCCTTGTTATTTAAATTTTATATATAGAAAAAGAAATAAAGTGCTTCAACATCTCTCTCTCTCTCTCTCTCTCTCCCCCTTCTTTTGGTATTTATCTCACTGACCATTAGACTTCATTGTCACTGGTCAGACAGTTGTCTCTTCGAAGAGTAAGAGTTTGATAATGAAATTTATTATTTAAAGGCATATATATGTTTTTAATCTTCATCGGAGGAATGCTTTTGCAAAGATCCTAATTTGCTTTTATGCTTACTATAATTGGATCCCTCTTCCTATGCGTACTTCTGTCTTTTTTTTTCAGTGTTCAAGTTTATTTTCATTCATAGAATCTCATTTCTTATGCTACTAGGATTCCTTTATGTCACATGAATAAGTGCGGATTATTCGTCTTCTCTGCAGGTTTCTCTCTCACAAATTGTTTATTTTTCATCAAAAGAGCTCAGAATGGCTTGATATTATCATAGATATTAAGTAATATGAAAAGGCCTTTATACATTCAAGGTCTTCTGTCGGGATCAACCCAATCAGAGGAGTCTACATTGGAAGCTGAAAAAAAATTATGTTGTCACCCAAACCTGCCTTCCTGTAGCCCTTCTACTCTTCAGCCATATGCATCAGGAGGCCAACACTCTGAAAGTAATGCTGCATATTTCTCATGGCCTACATCTACCCGTATGCATGACTCAGCGGAAGGCCGGGCTAACTATTTTGGGAACCTTCAGAAAGGAGTCCTTCCAGGTAATCCAGGGCGCCTACCGAGGGGTCAACAAGCAACAACATTGCTTGATTTGATGACAATCAGGGCATTTCACAGTAAAATCTTGCGGAGATACAGTCTTGGCACGGCAGTAGGCTTCCGTATTCAGCAGGGTATGCTAACTAGTATACCTGCAATTCTGGTTTTTGTTGCCCGTAAAGTTCACCAGAAATGGCTTAACAAGATCCAATGTTTGCCATCTATCTTAGAGGTATTGGTCATCGGAAACTGTCTCTATTAAGTGGATTTTCTATATTTGGTCTCTATAGTGATTAGTTTGTAAGTTTTTTTTTCATATGTTTTGTCATGTAGAATCTCAAAATTTGATGCTTTTTGCTTATTTCTGGAGTACATAATTGTGAATAAAGAGGTCTTCATGTATTTGTTTTTTGACAATTGGTAATTGATCTTTCTCATTTATCTTGTTTTAGGGGCCAGGAGGTATATGGTGTGATGTGGATGTCGTTGAATTTTCTTACTATGGTGCACCTGCACCAACTCCCAAAGAACAGTTGTATACCAAGCTTGTGGATGGTTTATGGGGAAGTGATCCATATATTGGTTCAGGTTCGCAGGTATTCATCTGACTCTCCTTGTTCATATTGTGTATTTACTGAGATGTGACATTTTGCAGGTTTGGGATTGTTGGAATGGTCCTCTTTTTTTGTCTCCATGCTATACGAATTTATTACAAAGTATCTGTTGATTTTTTCTTCAATCACTAGAAGATTATGGTTGGATGAACTTTCATATGGACATCTATTATTTAGCGTCCAAGATATTCATATTCCCATCACATTTTAGTTGTTAGAATTTGTGACCTGAATTTTATTGGGCTTGGATCAAAATTTTGTGGAGTGAATCTATGTTTATATCAGAGAGGTTGAGCCAATTGGTTCAATCTTGGACCACACCACTAGCTTCTGTGGGATGCAGGGGTGGCAGCCTCTCTTTCACACAAACACACAACACATGCACGCACATGCAAACACCTGCACAAACAAGCTCGTGCGCGCACAAACACATACATATATCTGCACTTGGCACTTGTGACTCATTTTCTTTTCGATGTAGTGAATTCCTCTCCTCTATTTGTTGTTTTTCTTGCCTAGAGTTTTCTCCCTAAATCTTTCTCTCTCTTAAATTGTGCGTGACATTTCTCTTCATTTTTTTATTTTTTAATTAGACATCATGTTTCTCTACTTGGATGTGATTATCTCATATAATGCACAAATTCATAGACATTGATGAACATTTAGGGATTGCCTCAATTGTTTTAGTTTGTAGGGTTCAAAATAGGATTTACTTTGACAACCTAGATTGTGACCACATTGATGACTCAGGGCCCGTTTGGGGCAGCTTATAAGTGCGGCGGCGTTTTCAAAAGATAAATTTTCTCATAATGGTAACTGTTTCTGTAGTCTGCATTCCCCTTTCCCTTCAAAATTGCTTATCAATTTGATTTTCTTGCACATCCTTCACCTCCTAGCTCCCGGAATCATTTTCTTTTGTACGCATTATCTACTTATTGATGCCCGCCATGTTAGATTAAAGGAAAATATGAAGTTGGAAAATAAATTGGAAGAGTAGAAGGGGTATTGTGTTGCATCTATGAATTTAAATGGCTGAGAAATAGGAAAAGAAAGAAGATATTTTTGTTTATAAATTTTCATTGTTTTCTCTTATGTTTTAACATGTAAAAACCTGAAATCTGTGCTACAGTGCTTTGCTGGAGTGCTTTCGTGATGTTTTCTTTGTCGAAATTGGCTGGAGTGCTTTGTTGGAGTGCTTTGATGTTATTTGAGTATTGTTGGTTCAATTTATCTGTAACTGATATTTGAGTGCTTTTGGTTCGAGTGCTTTGCTGAAATTATAGTACCTGTTCTTAAGTAAATGCAAATGAAATTGTTACTATATGGATTTGTATAGTATTTGGGCATATGAATTGTTATGGACATGTCTTTGGCTCTTAAAATGAAAGAATTGTAGTTTTACATTTAAGAATATTTTGAATTAAGAAGGTTGGTAAATTTGTAAAACAAACTGCAAATAAGTTGTTTACAAAATGCACAAACCAAACAACTAAACAATTATTCAGAACAGGGGCAGAATATTCATTTATCCAGAATCAGCTGTTTTCCAAACTCACAAACCAAACAGTCAGCCAGTTTATCTGGATCAGCTGCTCATCAGTAGATTATCTGGATAAGCTGCTTATCAGCAGAAGCTTGGATAAGCTGCAGCTGCCCCAAACAGACCCTCAATGTGATGCTAAGAACCTTTCTGGGTGTCAAAAATAAATGCAAAAATGGGAAAGTCCTTTAGGTCCATTTATTTTTGAGATTTTTGGGTGAAGGGACCTCACTAGCCGACACAGGGGAATTGCTCCATGCACTCTAATTAATGAGTTTTTTGGAAGTGATAATTTCCAGTGTGACCCCTACAAATTCAACTGACTTGAGAAAAAAAATCCAACTTCTCCTTGAATCTAGAGTATGTGGTCTCAGCTTGGTGGAATGATTTGGGGAGGTTTTTATTTAGTCCCACTCATCCAATGGTGCCAAGGGGTGAATCTATGTTCCATAAATAAGAAGGGTATATTATTGGTTAAGAAATGAGAAAAAGAAAGAAGAAGAAGCCCTTTCAAAATGCCATGTCGATGCCCTTTTTGGGGAGAAAGAGGAGGCTTTATTGTAGCCTTTCAATTGCATCCAAACTAGGCAGAAAATGGATTCTCTCAAGTCAAACCTTTGGGTTGGTCAATCTCACAAGCCCCATGTTTTCTATTTAGTTTGAAAAATGTCAAGATAGGGAAGTTCTTTATGTTTAGTGGGAGATGTATGCTTACTTGGGTGTTCTTTAGAACATTATACTTGTTGATTATATATATAGGAGTTAATTTATTGAATAAGCCACATATAATGCGGTGCCCTATTAAAAAAAAGAGGTGGAGTGGGGGGGGGGGGGGGGGGGTGGGAAAAATTGAAAATCTTTCAACTTAGACATTAAGTGGTTCACGATTATGTGGCTAGACGGAGACAAAGTGGGATTTGGGCCAAAATTGAGAAAAATATGCAAGTTTGCATTAGAGGAGAGAAAATAGAGTGAGGGTGAGCAGCTCGACCAACAATTGCCTTGGGTGACCAAGCATGGGACAAGCAAACAAACCTATAAGAGAGAGTGGGAGACAGACTATGTATGAAAAGTACAACATGAGAGAGGGAGTTAGAATGGGATCGAGCTAGTGCGTTCGAGCATGAGAAAGGTGAACGGGAGCAACAACAAGCAGATCTATTCTATCGAGCGAGAGCGGGCAAGTGTCATACGAGCCCCTGTCTGTACCATGCAATTGCTTGCAATTACCCTTTTTGCTCGACTGTGCTCACTCAATGCACTCGTGATCTCCGTTGCTTTAGGGATCCCTCACCTACTAGTTTTTTCCCTTAGCCAATTACAAACAACTTACCATAGATACATGTTTTTTTTTTAACTTCTCGTTCCTTTTTTCTTTATTCCTGGTGCCATTCGCCTATTGCCTCTACTCCTTTCCTTTAAATGAAACCCTCTTTCACAATTAACACATTTGTCAAACTCAATGGTACCTAACATCTTCTACGATTTATGACTTTCGTTTTGTCCGTTGGTTTTGAAAGATTCCTATGTGTTGTAATAAGAGTTCGACTATAGCGAAATAATACACTATAGGCATGTGAGGATCAATAGAAAACAAATTGAATGTATCTGTTCAAAGATTTTCCTTACCAAACATATGGCTCTAGACAAGGTTGATTCTAATTATGAAGATCGAGATTTTCAAGCTGCTAAAATTAATTATATCCTAGGCGTATGAGAGAACACACTTAATTAATGATTCAAAATTTATCTACATTCCAGCTATGGTAGGTTTGATCAGGTAAAAATCATAATGCAACTGTATAAAGTTTTATGGACATCAAATATGCTGGATGTCCTAGGAAACAAGGAGGATAAACTCAAATACTTAGAAACAAAAGAGAAACTTATAACTTCACATCGATTGGAATGAGATGCCTAAGATTGAGCTTGTATGGCCATATGATATCACCTGCTAGATGTAGGGATGGGCATGATGGGGAGATTGAACCTATTTAAAATTCCATGGATGCTTTATCTTATGTTGTTGTAACTTAGGCTTAATCAAGAAAGTAGTCAAATCAACATAATCGGAGGATTCTTTTTTCATAATCACGGGTTACCTCATCCATGAGTACCTCACAAGCTTAGGGAAAATTTGAGCCTATCTCATTTTTAATTGGCATTGTATTTTTTGACTTTATGTTCAAGCATTTGCCACCTTATTGGTGTACATGCAGATAGTTTATTTTTAAATAGTTTCTAGAATTTTTGAAATGACCTCACATTTCTCGAAATAAAATGTTTGAATTTTATTTCTTCTTGAAGAGCCCACATAATTTTATTATTATTATTTTTCTTACTTTGATTTGGATAACATCACTCTTATCAAAATATACTCAATAACAAATTAACAATTGATGTGCTTTTTAGGGAACTGAGTATGTTTGTCAAAGTAGTTGCTTGTTCTCAAGATTGTAATCTAGAATTTAGATTTTTCTTTAAAGATGATCTCAATGTTTTAAAATTTTCACAATTTTGATCTTTTGAAATGTGCCATAGTTATATTAAGCACATTCAAGAGTTTGCTCTTTGATATTTGATGCAGTTTCTAGAAGAAGTGTGCACATATTGGTGTGCTTTCAAGAGTACAAATTGAACGCTTATTATATTTTTCTTATTTGTGGTGATTAGAGCCGAGAGCGATGTGTGGTATTAGAATTTGTGTCAGATTTACTCAAATCAATAGTCTCACGAACTCTTTTTTTTTTTTTTTTTTGCTAGTTGATGTTCTCGCAGTGCCTTCTTCGGCGAGCTGCATCATGAATTCCTTGTAACTTTTCTTTCGAGAATTTTGAAATGGGTTGGTGTTAGAGAAGGTTGGGGGGGGGGGGGGGGGGGGAAGTTGAGGAGAGGTTGTATGTGAGGTCGGGATAAGAATATGTATACTGGAGCTAGGTCATGGGGAGAGTAGAATTTGATCGTGGGTTTTTATTATAATTAGAGAGTTGGAAGGGAGGTACCTGAGAGACATAGGAGGAGGACCATGATGTTGCAACTAGAATTGTAATAGTGGGACATGTGGTGTTTGCCTTTGGTAGGTTAAAAGTTGGTGGGATTTGATTTTTAATAATAATAATAATAATAATAATGTATATTGACTCTTAGTCATGAAGCTTTGAATTTCTCTTGTGTTGCGGCCTCAACAATATGAGTCATGAGTGTCATTTAGTAATTTTGATGTTTCAAATATGTCAAGTGTAATATTTTTTGTTTAACCGACGATGATTGATTGAATTTGTTGCATGCAATGCATTTTGAACTAGTATCATGTGATTACACATCCGTCTTCCATCATGTTTGACCCCCAAATAAGGTGTGTGATAATAATCCAAGAAGGTTTTTATCACCTATGTGGGTGTTGATTAAGCCCTAAGTGGGTTAACTCTTTATTTCCTGACAT